AAATATGTAAGTTGTGTCTAATTTCTGCTCAGATTTACGCTTTTAATCCACTGTTGTGACTACATTTTTATCTTGCTAAGCTTAGAATTCAGATTGACGGCCGAGGAGAAGAGAAATCATGCAGGTAATTTACTTTCTCTTCGCACTTGAAAAGTTTCAATGTGTGTTCGAACTGATTAGTGTGTCTTTCTACTTGTGTAACCTTCGTTTATGCGAGTTTTTGTATCGCTTTCGCTGAATAAAAATGATGTAAACATCTTCGAGACAATCGAAACTCGGCATTTCAATACTTCAAACTACATCAGATCAGTAGTCGGAGAAGTCCATCTTCTAAATCTAATAAATGAGCTATTACTATTTCTGTCTATTTCTTTAGTATTTGACATAAGTATTCATGGGGGAAAAAAATATAACCTGTGTAACCAAAACTTTGTTCACCAATTTCACCCGACGTAATTGCTTCCTTCAAGTATGAAGAATTTGTTCATTGTTCTAAAGATAAGATCACATGCAAAACTGACTTGCATTTTTGTGAACTGTGATGAAAACGAGAAAATCTTTGCGTGTTGTTTCCCTCTCCGCCTCTTCTCTCGTAGTCTACTGTCTGTAGTGCAATCTTAACGTTCTAAATTTGCACGACTCAACCCAGTGCTCCAAACAAAGGACAACGCTCGTCCAGCCGTAGTTCGTAGTCCATAGTCTCTGTATCTTAAACTCCCTATTATAACGTCAGCGTACGACCTTCCGTCCGTACAGGCGCTGGGGGAGTGGGAAGGGAGTTTGCAGTCAACCCGACAGGAGGGTGATATGTTATATTTTCTTGGCGGGAATTTGCGTGGCCTTGTTGTGGTGAAGTGACAGCTGTCAAAACAGGGCTTCCGGTGACCAGTATCACATGACCGTATCGCCGGCTCAGGTTTCGACCCATCGAGTGCTTGCTTTTCGGCAAAACAAAATACATAAAATCGAGATTGTAATTCGAAACTCGCGTTGTTTTCAAAATTTGCACAAATCTGGAGTTGAAAAGAAATGTTTAGGTTACTAACGCTTCGAAATACTGTACCTTCAGAACGGTATAGCTTTAACTGTGTTGCGCTGCATCTTTCAAAAACATTGTTCGATTCCTCGTAGGTATTACGACTACGATGTCGTTTTGTACGACTAAAACCTCAAACTCCCTAGTTACACATTATTTTTATGGAGGAATTGTCGTATGTGCTTACCAAAGGTTTTTTTCCCACTCATTTTCACTTGGTCCCTAGCATGTCACATTTTCTCACCGCCGCTATGAAATTGTCATGTTTTCTTCCAACGAAATTCGTCTCCCTAGCTCTTTCTCTGTTATCCACGTGAGTGTAAACATCAAAAGTAGCGTCCAAAAAGACACGACTTTGTTGTTGTTTTTTCTCTCTAAAAGTCCGGGCGGCTATGCGATTTTTGGGTTGCCATACTTGTTGAGTTCTTTTATATTGGTGTGCCTGTGGTGCGGACGAACGGTTGGTCGGTCTGGCGGTGTACGGTCATCAAATTTTCTAGGATGGGTAGATTTACTTAGCTATGGGGCTCCGCACTCGCGCGCGTGAACCTCCGCTATGGAGTTACAAAAAGGCTACAAAAATGGTGACTCTGAAGCCCAACTGGTTGGCATCGATCAGAAAGCATAATGCAAACGGCGTTTGGATTTCTCATCAAAAGCGAAGCTTTTTTCCGTTCATGATCGTCTATGCTCTAAACCATTACATCTTACAACATAGATGAAACAATAGTGTTTAATCAATGTAAACCGAAAAGGTACTTGTGAATAAATATAAAGTCCTTTAATATTTCAATGTGATCAGTGTGCTGACATCTAACTTTTGGCGTTTCTCGCTTTTGACTACATCCAATTAGAAGAGAAATGTAAATAGAATTTCTAGTCATTTCCATGCTAATAGGCAGAAACCGCTCCCTAAAAGGATTGGTGAAAAACTGCGTTTTTTTTCGCTACTGAAAAATAAAAGGCAAAATTTATGGCAGATCGAAACAGCAGATGAAACAAAAGTATTTATATATAATCAATGCAAACCGAAAAGGTACCTGTGAATAAATATAAAGCCCTTTAACATGTCAATGTGATCAGTGTGCTGACATCTAACTTCTGGCGTTTCTCGCCTTTGACTACATCCAATTAGAAGGAAAATGGAAATCTCATTTTTAGCCATTTCCATGCTAATATGCAGAAACCGCTCCCTAAAAAGATTGGTGAAAAACTGCGTTTTTTTTCGCTACTGAAAAATAAAAGGCAAAATTTATGGCAGATTGAAACAGCAGATGAAACAGAAGTATTTATATTTATAAAATAACTAAGATAGTACGCGCGCTCTGATTGGCCGAGAGGAGTGTTTGCATGAGAGTATGTAAACATGGTTGTGGCGTCAAGTTGTTTGGCTTTTCGCGCGCTACTCACGCAAGCACAAATTTGAAAAAGTTTTCGAGTTCAAAACTCAAAAAGTTTACTTTATTTACCCATTCCTTCGTCGGCTGAGACTTGGAAAATTGTTTCAAAGAAGGTGTGTACATTTTTCTTCGCTTAAGCTGACCGTTTTAAGCGAGAAAAATCCGTACTTTGCAAAGCATCTTTTTGCAAAACAAGAACTGATTACGCGTGCAAGACTTCGTGGACAAGATTTTGTGACTGGTAAGAATTTCTCTTTTAATCAGTGCCATACAAAGAGTTTTGCGTTTTTTTCTCGGGAAAGTTATTTTATAAAAGCAATAGAAAACTTTTTTCCTGTGTTTGCATAGCCTGATATATATAAATAATCAATGCAAACCGAAAAGGTACCTGTGAATAAATATAAAGTCCTTTAACATGTCAATGTGATCAGTGTGCTGATATCTAACTTCTGGCGTTTCTCGCTTTTGACTACATCCAATTAGAAGGAAAATGTAAACCTCACTTTTAGCCATTTGCATGCTAACAGGCAGAAACCGCTCCCAAAAAGGATTGGTCGAAAACTGAGGTCTTTTTCGCTACTGAAAAATAAAAGGCAAAATTTATGGCAGTTTTCGCCGTTCTATTCTAATGCGCAATTTATAAAATGACAGGCTTCTTCAGTCACTTTACAAAAACATATCCGTGTGGCTCAAGACTGAAATAAAATAGAACTTTGACAACCGCTGCGCACTTTATAGATGGTACGTTTATATCTAGAAGAAAAGAATTTGAACTTGTCTAAAACTTCTCTCAGCTTATAGTGAGTATACAAGGCATCTAAAGGGAGTGCAATATCAACACCAATGAAGCTTAACTTTTTCAAGTCTCAATGCTACGCTCAATACCTCGCGTCGTTGTCCAATTAGAGTGATACAGTCGAACCTACACGCTAACCGCCACCTCTCTACAACGGCCACCTTTTTTCGTCCCGGCGGACAAAAAATTCATACATTGACTCTTGTTTGAAAACTCTCAACAACGACCACCTCTTTACAATGGCCACTTTCTTCTGTCCCCAAGGTGGCCGTTCTCAGAGAGGTTCAACTGTAGCCTCTATTCCCTTAATGGCTTATGCCGCGATTCTAAAAACAAAACCAGTTATTTCCTAGAGCTTTGAGTTTAAAGCTTAGAGTGGGACTAAAAGTACATACCGGTGGATTGAATAGTTTTGTACGCAAGATCGACTTAAAACTCCTGAGGATCACTAAAACAGTCAAGACTGGTTAGCGAAATCTATTTCGACTTGACACGACTACAAGAAACAAGCTGCTCAACTGTGATAGTAAGGGCGACAAAAGACTGGTCACGTGTAACCTGTCATGTTCGGTGCCGGGCCTCATCCGAAGTCGATCGGAAATCGTAGTCTGTAGTCGTCAAATTTTACATTCATTATTTCTATTTTTCAAAAACAAACAAACAAACAAAAAACAAAAATAATACAAAACAATAAAGGTATCCACTCCCTACCACAGGAAGTGAATAAATAGAGAATACTTCATGGAAAGTGCTGGCGTACGGTATTTACGCACGAGTTGTTGACGTATCAGAAATCGAACGAGTGAGCGCAGCGAACGAGTAAGATTTCTGATACAAAAACAACGAGTGCGTAAATACCGTACAAAGCACTTTCCATGTGGTATTGTGTTTATTATATACATACTGAGTCATTCATCATTTTGCGGGCCTTTTTATTTTAAATCTTTCAAAAATGCTAAAATTTGCCGCTACACACTTACCGCAAAATGACAACGAAAACGAAGTATCAGCTTTTTAGTAAAAACGTTTGTTAAAAACATAAATGACGGTGAGGATATGAGGTTTAATCCAAGAACTATAAGTAATCTTAACTGTTTGTTCTCAATGCACAATTGAAAACGAGTGAATTTAAGTAAAATGGCCGGTTTCAATATAAGCTTAAGCTTAAATGAAAGGCAAAGTAGCTCCGACAAAAAGCACAACAAAAAGCTTACGTCTCGTTCTGTTTATCCCTTTCCGCTGTTGTTTCACCGGCTCTCTACCGTATTTTTTTATCGACAGTGAAACAAACGAAACTATTCCACTCCATTTCCGAAATGTTTTTCACTTTTTAGCGAGAAAAACTCCTTGAGTAAAACTTTTTCTCGTTGATAAATGTGTGCGAAGCGGCGCTGCAAGCTGCAATAAAAGGCGGGAATTTTGGCGCGAAACTCCTACACCTCTGTGGCTTCTGATTGGACGTATCATTTTTCTCACACGTGAAAAAACATCGTTCGCGATTCTGATTGGACGTATCGTTTTTTTCACGTGTGAAAACCATCGTTCGCTCCTCTGATTGGCTATAACTAATTTGCGTACGAAAATTTACGACATAGCTTTTTGGTGAGTATTTCTCAGTATGTATATAATAAAACATTTTATCTCATATAACAAGTTGTATGTTGTCTACTTTTTTAAAAAAGTTATTTTTATTTAACGCAATAGTTATAATTTAAAAATATCTTCTAAGACTGCGTTGCTTGAAGTAGATTCAAAGCTCCTCTTTAGGGGCTGTCTCTAGTTCCCCCGTGGATTCAACTTGATCAAATCCAGCCACTTGATCCTCTATAAGATCCTCGATGCTGGCCAGCCCGTTTTCTACAACACTGACAGCCTAAAATAAAACCATAAAAGAATAAATTTCCTATGGGATAGCACGTTCCAGACGTTCAGATGGTCGAGTGTGGCGTGAAGTGGTTCAGATGGTGGAGTGCGGTGCGAAGTCACAGAGCGGGGAAAAAACCCTACCCCACCCCCCTAACTATTCTCTTTGCGCTCTCCGCAAAAGGTTACCCAGTGTATAAATCTGTACAGGCTTTAGGTTGGGAGTGCTAGTACGAGATTTATAAATTCCGCAGGTTGTTTGACTTCTTATTGAGTAGCACAATGGTCGAATGGTCGAATCAATGAGTCAATAGTAAAGACCGCCGTAAAATCGATGCAACCGCTTGTTACACTACTAAAGCGTATTCCTGATAACGTTAGGCCTCTCCATTTGCTGGTCAGCGACAGACAAATAATATTAAGCAGGTTATCCTATCAAACAGCAAACAGGATGTTTATCATAGGATGCGAAACTCTCACTTTTGTAATATGCAACTACTGCTTACCGAACTGTCTTCCTCCAGCCGAATGACATCACCTGTTGTAAGTTCACCATTGTTATCTGTGTCTATTGCCTCAAATATCTGAAACAAGACGAAAATGTCAGATATGGGATGACGCCTACTAACAGCCATGCATCAGTTCAGTGTCCCGTGTGGGTGGGTGTTTGAGTTAGCTAGACTTTGCTTGGTGTTACGTAACACCTCTCCAAATAGACCAATTCCGATATATTAAAATTCATACTTAGCTGCGCGGCTTCGGGGAATGAAACAAAAGAAGTCATCTTGAAGCTCATCTATGAACAATACATTTGTTTTGTCTTATTTCCCCAAGCCTCGGAGCCAAGTATGAATTTTAACATATCGAGAATGATCTATAAAGAAGAAAAGTGTGACATCACAAAAATGCAAATTTATGAAATTATGGGATTGGTTAGCACATTCCTCCGGGCGACACGTCCCTAGCGGCGAGGAGCAAGGAGAAACGACTGTATTCGCGTAAGTGGCCATTTCCCATTGTCTGAATTTGGCTAAAATTTGTGACACTTCTCTCTTAAAGATTCCCAGAATGAACATTTTTTGTTCACTAGATTAATCACCCTTGTGAATATATAGCAGCTACGAAGTTTCATTTAGACACTCGTGCATTTTCACACAGTATTTAGAACCGGGGATAGCTGGGAAAAATGTGGCGGGGTGCGGTGCATGTTTGTTGGGCCTGACCCAGATCTTGCAGTATTTTGCAAAGTTCAAGAAGATTTATAGAAACTATTACATTACCTTCCTAGCAGCGGAAGAGAACTGTTCATTCCATACAAATGGTTGATCTCCTACAACTGCGGGCTCCTACAAGTTCAATTAAAAATTATTTATCAGAATTACCCAAGGCTTGACACCACCTGATAACAACGTTCGTCAAAATTGTTGTAGATCAGGCACCGATTGGTCACTTGCGTAGATACACCCACGCGACTCGGCAACTGTCACACAGTTTTATTTCATAAGCATTTCGAACAATTGGAACTTGTCTATACAGTTATCAGTTTTGTTTGAAGAACAACATCCATTTTATTGATTGATGTTTTGAACCTTTCAATGTAGGTATATATACGTATACTGAGGTCAAAGCAAGAGTACTTGAGGACCAACCTTGACTAGGGATAGAAAGGCTATACAAGACACCACTAGGTGCTATTGTGACAGTCCCTTATATTCCATCTTAAAGAGGGTAACCTCATATTTGTATTTGTATTTTGAACTGATAGTCTCATGGAGGTGCAGGCTGAGACAAACCTGACCATACAGATGAGAAATTTAGACATATAACTCTTACGTTCTTCAAAAGTTCCTCAAACTCCTTGAAAGTCTTTTTGCCCGACTTGACCAGAGATTGGAGCTGATCCCTTGAAAATCAAAGCAGAAAAACTAATTTAAAACAAAGTCAAGCAAACAGTCTTTTTAGCCGGAAAGAATGCGCGACTTTCAATGCTCAATTTTCCGCTCTTCCATTGGTCAATTCAGTTCGTAGATCTGTCCGCGCCGTCGTCAATGTGTTAGAGAGCTTAAGCTGAGGCGTTTTTTTGAGCGAAGCAAGTCAACTAGAAATGGGGTCTTTTCCCTTTTAATATACCATGACGCTACTAAATTTGTAACGCTAAGTGTCTTTACTCGTATAGAAGACGATTAGCCCCAAAATGTTGGCAAAACCACTCCCAAAGAATGTAAAACGTTTCACTTTCGGTTGACGTGCGTCGCTCACCGTTGTCTTTGCCAGTGAATCTTCTACTGCCCAAAATCTGGCGATCACTTCAGAGGAACACTTCTCTAAAAATATTGGAACGGGCGTTACGTAGTCTAAACTCTTATTAGACTGTTCTAATCGCTCAGATAGTGTGGAACAGCGCTTAAAGAAGAACTTGTACCGCCCTGTTTTCCTCTTGACGTCGTCAACGCGGCCTGGAATTGGCTTACCTCTCATAAGCAGCCACACTTTGTTTGCCGCAGTCGTTAAAAGAAGTCCTTTTGACTTAAAGTCAGAACTGTATTCTTGTCTCAGGAATCAATTCGGAAGGCAGACAAGAGAAAGTGTTTCATCCAATATTATCTTAAGTTAAGATCAAGAAAAGAGTTTTTGAAGAATGAAAAGTGAATAGCACTCAAATTTCAGGGCTGTCATTAAGAGGAGGGGGCTAATATAAACGTGGCCCCCGGCTACTTTCATAGGAAAATAGAAGAGAAATAGAACCAAAAGAAATCCCTAGATGATGGATTCCCCGCCTAATTGTGACAGCCCTGCCAAATACTTCAGATCAGTGTCTGGATATCAGATGAAACACAGTCTCCTGTTTGAGGTCCCTCAACTCCACTAGGAGACTGGTCATTGGGGAAAAGAAAGCGCGCAGGGTGGGGCCGCTGGTAATGGGAAAGAGAAGAGGAGGGCATTACATTTTTAAACTTTACGGTATGTAGATTAGATGTAGTTTTTTTTCGTCATAGTGTTGGATATCAGTAAATGTGCATGCTCCACGAAAGATGTACATACCTCTTCAGTCACCATTTTCACAAAGACCACAATGCACCCTATTATCCCTCTAAGATTTTGCATAACAATGGTATTCTTTTTCTCTAGGGATGACCGTAATACCCAGAAGAAATTGGAAAAAATGACCATGCAAAACTTTTTGGGGTAAACAAGGTGCATTATGGTCTGTATGTGGACGGGCAAAAACGATTCAAAAACGCAACGTGTGGACGCAGATTTTTTAAAAGGAGAAAAAATCCCCTTCAAACAAAAACGAATACGTGTGGACGGGGCGTTAAACACCGATTGACCCTCGGGAAAAATCAATGAAAATAATGACTTACATTAAATCTGGAGGACCTGCTTGTTCCTGATCACCGGATTCTGCTTCAAGTGAGGAGAAGTTAAACTTGTCTAAAGTTTGATTAGGTTCCATATTGCAGTCCTCTGGGATGAAATTTACTTTGTGCGTCCACCAAACGTTAACAGCTATGTTCCGATCATATGACCGTACTTGATGAAACCTGTTTGGGAAATAGGGAAATTGTGGTGAGTAATAAGATCAGCTCCATATTAGAGAGCTTTTACAGATTCTGAGACGAGAACGACTGCGTGTACGAGATTTTCTCAATAGTAAGTAGTGCGCGCGCGTGAGGCAGCGTCATTTTGAAGGGAAAACGTGGTAGCCGTCGTCAGTCTACTACGAGGGGTCGTAGTGGCGGGAACAAGTTATCAAATGTAAGAAGTTTTATCATTTTGCTATCGGGAGAGGACTTAACCTCCTTCAATAACGGTAATAGTACTAACTTTTCTGGTGAAAAAAAAAGTACAATGAAGAATTATGGGGTTTCTATATTTTGACAACACGCGAAAAAAACTTTAAATCAAATCTAGTACTCTTTCGTTCCGTCCTCAAATCGAAAGGTCTCTCTTCACATAACAGACAGTTAATTTTCTTTGCAAAGTTACTTCACGCGTAACCCATGCACGCGCGCGGCGAAGCCGATTCGCGTCGTTGTTTTTAATGGTGCTGGCTGCGATAAGAGATGGACGGATTTGAAGAGGAAAAGACGGACTGCAAACAGCCTACAATACAATGAAACTTCACTCATGACCACACCCGAAATGTAAAATATATCATCAAGTCAGTCACATTACAATATGACCAGTTTTCATGGTCCTTGAGTGGTCACATCAACAGGGTGTCACTGTATGTTGTTAAATTGCTCTTAACCAACTCCTCTATAAAATGCACGCTGACTGACTAACTCTGAGCCTGGAACAGGCTTAATGAAGGAGAAACAAAGCTCAGTGACCCCCTCCGGCCAGTGAGTCATTGAGTGCATACAAGTTGTCAGGTGTAAAAAACGACTTAGGACGCTCAGGTGTTTTAACCAAATGTAGGTAAGCCATAATGTGTTAAAACTTACCACTTATAAGGTATAAATAAACAGTCTCCTGGTTCCATTGTTACATTAAAGTACTCAACATCTTTCAGACTGGGATATTTAACCAAATCAACCCTAAAATAAAATGTATCATGTATAAACACTGTATGTTGTAGGTCAACCATTTAAAAATAGTTTTAACCTACAAGTAGGTTACACAAACGGTTAAGCTAATATATTTAATGTAAAATTACAAATGGTTAATAGAACAGATTGTGTGGGTTCCACATACTATCAAGGGTCTGCAAACAAGAGGTAGTCAGTGTTGTTTTTCTCCTTTTGTCTAGACAAATTACTTTACTTGTAATCACCACTACAGTAATGGCTGAACTTCAAACCAAAGGAATGGTGTACACAAACTTGTAGTTTATCTAACATATGGGAATTAAATGAGGTCGCATAATATTGGTGGACCCTCTGTTAAAACAATATGTTGTAGTTAATTTTTTGTCTCAGGTACCGTAATTTTTATTTTTTCTTTTGTTTTCTGGTATGGTAATGTATGCTAATGAAGTTTAAACAAAAGAAAAATAAAAATTACCTGAGATAAAAAATTAACTACAACATATATATAGAATTGGGAATCACAATCATAACCTGATTACTGTGCAGGTAAACATGACTATAAAAAATTATCTTTTGGTTTTTATCACTCTGTAAGCACAGCAATATCTCTGACTTAATAATACTTTATTCAAATACATATACATATGGACACAATATATTATCTGAAAAGGTGGACCGTAAGGTTAGCCCTATAAAAGGTCCCCTAAATGAATAAAATATAAAAAAATGAAAAACACAAGTAAAAATTGTTAGAGTTATAGGTACAAACTGGTATAATGGTAAGAATGATAAATTATTTAAAGTGAAAATACATACAGTTAAAATATTATGAGCTAAAATGTCAATAAATTTTCATCCAAATGTAAATTGTTCTAGGCTTTGATGATTCTCACAAAGAAGGAGCACTTAATAAGGGAGTTGACTTAGAGGATGTTGAACTTTGTTGTAAGTACTAAGTTAATGTTTATCTCAGGTAATTTTTCTTTTTCTTTTGTGTTTGGGTATGGTAATGTAAGCTAAGGAAGATGAAACAAAAGAAAAATAAAAATTACCTGATATAAAAAACTGTTGTACTCTGTGTACTCTGTTGTACCCTGTACAACATGTACTCTGTTGTACTCTGTACAACATGGTCATTATCCCCTAGGCCAGGTCTCTTTTTGCCATGGGTTGGAACATAAAAAGCATTTATCAATAACCTGTCCTTTGTCTAGGAAAAGGAGGATTGATCTCACTCGGGAATTTGAGCCGAGCAGTTAAAATGCATTCAATAAGGAGCTAGTCATAAGATGCCCTACCGATCAACATCCACTCCAGAATATCCACCAGATGGAAAATCAATAGGCACCTGTGAACAAACAGCATATGAAATAACAATTAAAAATCCAAGATCAAATAGCCAAAAAATTGCCCAAATTTTTCCTCAAACGTGCCATGCATTTTGCTTACGAGATTCCCTGCTTATATGAATGTTAAAAATAAAAAAAAAACAGTGTTATTATGAAAGCTCAAGCAGTGGTTTTACCAATGAGGCAGAGTGTCAGTGTTATGAAAGTCTCAACTGTATTTCAGTAAAAGAGTTGAATCAGATTCAAAAACTATTATATGTAAACTGGGCCTGAAAAAGCAGCCAACATTTTCTGATGCCACCTTTAGGTTTCCTACCAAATGACGTGTGAGAAAGAAGCACAGAAATTCCATTACTGATGATGAGTTACTACCCAGGTCTTGGTAGTGCTACTGATTGGATGAAGCAAATTTCCAACTAATAAGAAGCTCTACCCAGATCTGGCTAGTGCACATCTTCAGTATAGTATTTCTGAGCTCTTTTTTCTCAGAACTTATTTTGCCAGAAAAACAACGGTGGTGTCCCCAAATGTCTGCTGTTTTCTCAGGCTTGTGAAATGACTGTTCAACACACCTTGTTCTTGTATTTCTTGTAATCTATAAATAAGAGTTCTTTTGTTCCACTGAACAGACAGTTGATGTTGTCCACGTCATCATTGTGCAAGACTGATTTAGTTCCACCACTACTAAACCACATCACCTAAATTGATAGATGAAATAGAATACAACTGAATGATAACCATAAGCCAGGCTGTAATTACACTGTAAAATTCTGTGAACAAAATTCTGTTGACAGAATTCAATACAACAGGCACCGAATGTTCAAAAGATGGATATTTTCCAGGTCAAAATTGAACTCAAGCTAAAATTTTTTTAGCTCTAATTATTCATGAATCAGGGCTAGGACACAAACAAAATTGAGAATCAACCTAGGTCGAAAAATTTTAACCTGAAGGACTTAATTTTGATCTGTAACAGATACAATGTAGAATTACAGGATAAATTCCAATTTAGTTGATACATGTACAGCTGTATATTGTAGGTATACTGCAACCCCAATTGCACTATCCAGGTGACAGTCAGTAATTTATCTGGTGGATAGAGTTATTCACTTTTTTGAACAACTAGGGCCTGGTTCTTATTGACACTATATATTAGAAATAAACGAGTTGGCTAACCGTGTCGACAAGCATGTCCTGTACAACATCTTTACACAAGAGAGGTGGTGGAAGCAATACATCTTTCCTGGTGAAGGACAAAGAATATTAGCTGCAATATTTCGATTAAAAAAAAACGATTGTGAAAGACAAAAACTTTAATAGCAGTAAAAAAGGAGCTGTGAATGCATAAGTGACTAGAACAAGACAATGTGGTACGATAAATAAATCCCCTCCCAAATTGCCCAAACCATACCGTAGAATCCCGGTTATAAGCCCCCCCGGTTATAAGTTATAAGCCCAAAATTTCCTCCCGTTTCCCTGTTATTTGGTAAAAGTTAACAATAATTAGGGGTAAATTAGCGACATACCGGATGTTTTTTCCTCCCTATTATAAGACAATTATGGGCCCACCCAAAAACCCTTACGAAATTGTATAAGCCCAGGGCTTATAACCGGGATTCTACGGTATGCAGCCATAGTCAAAATGTTTCATTTGTAAAGCCAGGGATTGGCAGGGAAGGACAAGCCCCTACTATACAAAAGGTGGTCCAAAAGGCATGCACCTCAAATAGCCTTTGTCCAACTTGTTACCTACACATGTGGCTTAGCTTCCAAGCCTGGCAGAACTGTCTCTACTGATGAGGTGAAGGGGTGAAGTGAAAGGTTAGTCACTGGTACCTTAAAACCAGTTGCTTTAGACAAGCAAAGCTCAACAGAATGGGAAGGTCATCCTCTTGTTACAAGGGGAACGAAAATCATGATATCAAACCTCTGCTGTCAGCAGTTTCTACATCTACGGATAGAAAAGGCTATAAAGTGAATCAAGAAAGAATGTCATTGTGGTCTCCCTAAGGTGCAAATATTGCTTTCCTTTCAGCACATCCTCTAGCCAAGTCAGCTCCAACTGTAATTCCCTGTTTTCCCTTGGATCTTGTTCATCAGTCTGAGATGGGGACCCTGTTGTTTGGGCAGAACAATATTCATGGCCATCATACACCATAGCCCAGGCCTGGAACCACGAGCAGCCACTCCAGTATCATCTCCCGGTAAGAGTGTAACATGGAAAACAGCAGTTTTGTGTGATAACAATAAGGCACTGCACGGCATGACGATGTCACCAATGCCACTGTGTTGGAACAGGCTGGTTCCATGACATTCAGTGCAAGCATTGCTGAAATTTGTAATTTTTGACAACTACTTGCAGTGATGAAGCCCATAACACTACACCCTGATCTTCACTGAAGCCCTCAGTTCTTTGCCCTCTCTCCTAAATACCATCACCATCGCCCAAAACCGTCCATCCCCTCCCCCTCATTCGACCACTACCAAAGAAATCCACTGACCTATCCTGACACAAGACCCAATATATTATATCCAGCCATATTCAAAATGGGTGGAAGTTCATTGATCATTATTACACTTGGAACAGTATTTTTACTTTCCTTTTTTTCCAGGCGCAAAAACAAAGGAAAAAGAACCTTTACAAAAACAGCTGTCACAGCTGTGTACATGCAACGAAATAAGCCGTATTAAACACTGAACCACGATAGATGAATGCCAGAGTGGGGCAGCATTATTTCCTCAAAAAATAAAACAAAACAAAACAAATGCTACTCACTGAAGAAAAGGAGGAACACCATGTACCATATAAATATCCTTATTTTCGTAAGTTGTTACAAATTCCTTGAAGCTTATATCAATCGGGGGGTTCGTGCGAACTTCCTTTTTACGTTGCTCGGCAACAATTTGGAAATCACTAGACTCGGTAAAAGACAAGAAATATTCATCACTCCACTTTGTGAAAGCTGGAGAAAGTTTAGCTCCACCTCTTATCAACACTGGCTTAACAGGAGCCACATAGGTTTCGAAGAACTTCTCAGGAGTTGGAAAATCTGAAATCGTTTCCAGCGAACGTTTTGTGCTTCTTGCTCCAAGAGGTTCCAAATGACCCGGGTGTTTTGTCAAATGCGGTTCATCTGACGAAAATTTCGCTACTGGAATCAGTAAGAGTTTTAAACATACTACGACGAGGTGACCTGAAGAGAATATTTTCTTCCTCATGCTGTGAAGATGAGTTATAAACAATTCCCATCCAAGTGACATGAACGGAAAATATACTCGTTTTGAAATGCATATGTTGTGTAAGCTAAATAAAGTGTCGCGTTATGCTGTGTCACAGGATACCCACACAGATCAATGAGACGGAAGATTCGATAGGTGTGGGGATGAAAGGTGTGTATATGATTGATCTGGCAAGGAAAACCCGTCACCTCCGAACAACTTGTGTTCATTATCCCCTGGTCAAAAATTTTGTGACATGGTAGTTAAAAATAGATATTTTAGTCCAATAAAAAACAAAATAAAATAGAAAAAATAACCAAACGATCCTGCTTGACAGCGTTTCGTCTCACCGATACCGCCGCCCATACGCTTCTATTCCAGAAAGACATTTTTAGGATTAAAACCCATTGTGCTTAAAAAGTTCTCCCAGTATTGTTTCTCCTTCAATTGTTAAAAAACCTTTCTGAAAGATTATGTACTGCTCGCTGTCAAAAAACCACACTCACAAAAGGATTGCCGATGGCAGGTGGTCACTAAATGAGCTGTATTTCACTAAAGCTGCCTGTTCAACACAAACCGTTTTTCCGTTTTTACAGACTCTTTTTATTGCCCTAGCAAGTTATTCTAGAACGCGCGAGCGAGCAGCGAAGCCACGAGGGGCGTTCTCGCGAGGCTCACTTCGCTTGCCCAAATAGGAGAGCTTGCTCGCAGGCTATAAATGGCTTATTTCTTCCAGCAATATTGATCCGTTGTTACGTCGTGCTTGAACTTATTTTCTAAGACAGACAAAGCAATCACGAACACAAAAAACTTTTGGACTTGATCTAATATACCCGAACCACAAAGATCAGTATTGAATCAGTCTTTATTTCTGGATTTCCGTTGAAACCTTTTTTACGATCATTGGGTCGAATCCGCAATATCCTATAGCTAATACCCTAACCTCCTGGTGTTGAAATTTCTTGTTTTTACAATGAACTCTTAAATAAGGCCGTGATATGACGCCAGTAAATTGCACGTGGCACTGTAGTGACCAACTAGAAAGCCCTAGCTACTTTGACCACTGAGCCATTCTTAGCCGGTTTTCACCACGTATGTAACATTTTGTTATCATTTTGTTCCTGTGCTTGTAATATATTGTATTTTATATTATACTGCCAAAAATAAAAAATCTCAGTGAAATATCTGAAATTTATAGCACACGTTATTTTAGCTTAAAATTGGCCGGTTTCGTTCGTCACGGCCATAAACCCTCGGCCTCCTTGCCCTATATCTGATGTGAAAATAAATATATAAAATTAGCCTGGTGTTCAATCTCGTTTGTGCGACTTCAATATTTTGGGTACCCGAGCTGGAATTTCCCATATGAGGGCAATTCATCCCGGTTTTAAGTATCGCGTCAAAGAAATGAATTCACAACTGACACGCGGCATTTTTCTTCATCGAAACAAAGTTCATCCGCCGTTGTTGTACTATTTTTGACCTTACTCTGTTGTCAAAAAGATTCGGGAATACACATACCATATATTGGACATTTCTCCAAAAGTCTTCCCCTTTCAATCACTAAACACTTAAAATCTATTTAAGATTGAATCAGTACTTGAGGACACAGATGTATGATTGGCTTTTCTTGCATATAAAACTTCTATCAAAAGAGACCGGTAAGGGTTTGTATTGAGCCTTCCGCACAAATCTCAAGGGCATACTCTTCCAGTTTAAGATAACGCTATTTTATTCTTACCATTAAACTGTGTTTTTTAAAGTCAATAACTTACCGTCTCCACGACATTAACTTTGAAAACGTGAAATGCAGGAGACAGGGATAATAATACCTTTGATTAAGATCGCAGGTGTATTATAAATTGAACCTTTTAAGGTTCAATTTAAAGATGTGAGATAAAAGGTCATTTCAACATAGCAAATTTTACATATTTACATATACGATTTAACAGGTGAATTGATTACTGTTTGTTGAGTAGTATGTGAAATACGGCAGTAACCCAAGGAATAGAATCGTTTGTACTTTTAGGGACCGATGAAAATCTATATTTTTTACAGCTGCTGCTCTGTGGTACTATAATGTGAGGGAAAATTATTAATGAGTAAAACTACCGCTCGCAGCGTCTTCCACGATGCCATGAAGTAAAATTATTCATAGAACAAAGTTGCGCAATTAAAATGGCTTTCACTTCCTGTTTATCTCACAACATACCTGTATTAAACGATCGAGACTTATAATAAATGTTATTTTTTCTCCCACTATGTAACATTTCTCTAAATGAATATCAGCATCTACAGGCCTTTGTAAATAAACTGAACAAAGAAGAATTATTTAAATAAACTGCTCGTGCAAAAGCCCTATGATGATGTAAACGGTAAAATCATTAATTGTGGCCTCTTGAGTGATCATAAAGCTAGTTAGTGCATAATCCGCGAGGCTTTATTGTTATCTAAGCATAATATTTATTTTACTTACTGTATAAACGATGGAACTCCGTTCACCATGTATACGTCTCGCTTTTTATAAGTCTCCACGAACTCTTTGAAAGACGCGCGTCTTAAATCCCCTTTCGTTCGATTCTCTTTCTTCCCATATTCAATATCGATCATAAATGTTTCTGCTTCTGGGCTACTCAAGAAATAATCGTCGGTCCATTTAACGAAAGCCGGGGAAAGTTTCGCAACAGATTTAAACAGCACCGGCACACTAGCGGTGACATAGTTTTCGAAGAAGTCGCGTGGCTGAGGAAAGGCTGAAAGTGTTTTGACCGAGCTTTTGTTGTGTTTTGATCCAAGTGGCTCCAAATGACCAGGAAACAGGGAGAGTTCCTCGGCATTATCAGAAACAGAATTTTTCGATACAAGAGAAATTACAAAAAGAGAAATAAAAAACTTGGAAGATAAGACCATGATGAGTTAGTAAACATAAGACAAGTGGCGAATTATTGTGAAGTTAAAAACGTGATCAAGTCTAAATTTACATGTTAAGGATTATGCATGTATCAATATCAATAGCCATTATAACCACTAGTAATGACGTCCTAAATATTTAGAGTGAATTAGTTATGTTTACTTCCTGTTTTGTGATAAAAAAAGGTAACACATTTTCCCACTACGTAAATATAATTGATATCAATATCAAGGAAGTTAAAGAACTGAGTCCAAGCCCAGAAATTGCGTCGTTTCCCTCGCCGAATTTTTTCTTTCGAAAATAGCCCTTGGATCAGAATTTCCCTTTTAATTGATCCAAATTGCAACATCCTTTCTTATGTGAAACCAAACTTTGTTAATGGACATTAATATTACCTTCTATAATTACCAGTCAAAAAAAAACCTACTGAGAAGACAAGTTTCACGTAAGAAACAGTGAGTACATGTACGACATTTACCGGACAAAAAGGGTTAACTTAAGAAACCTAAAAGATGTTAAATTGTTTGTAGTTTCGTTTCGTCACAATATGGTTTTAGTGGATGAATCTGAGTGAAATGGTCGATTTCAATAACCTAACAAAAGACAAATTCATTAAATAACTCCTTCTAAACCCGGGAGGGTATTTCAGGAATTTCTGGGTGGGGATGTGCCGCTGGGACCCTGGAACCCTTAACCTATACCAGAGCTAGTTCAGCTAAATTTTGCTACCCTGTACTAGAGTAAACTCCTCAAATCCCCCCTATCCTAGAGAAGCTGTTTCCTTAGTCTAGATAAAATCCTCAACCAACTGATCAGTTTCCTGAAAAATGGTACCCTGTTCTAGACCCAAATGTTCTGATTTATATACCCTATCCTAGAATAAACTGCTTGAAAACCATACCCCTCACAGCGGCACATACCTATATAACCAATCTATGGCAGTACCCCCCCCCGGCTTCTAAATGTATAGTTCAAGCTTACTTGTTTCTTCACTTTCCTTTCTATCGTTGTTTTGCAAGCTCTCTATATATGGCTACAATGCTTTCATGATCAGTGACAATTAATGCAATATACGAAACAAAACCTGGGCTGTTGTTCACTTTCAACGAGGAAAACTCCCCTTATAGACTCAATCAGCTCATTGAATAGTCTCCTTCGCAGCCGTTATTAGAGTCGTCACTCGTCACGCAACGCTCGTGGAGAGGAGCGTTGCGTGACGAGTTACGACCCTAATAACGGCTGCGAAGGAGACTACTCATTGAATGACTGCGAACTCAGTGGTGCATCCAGACCTTCAGCTAAGGGGGCTCCCGGTCATCCAGACCCTGAGATAAGGGAGCGGAAGGGGTTCTCAAAAAAATTTTTTTTCGGCCCTTCGGGCTTCACTTTGCTCTAAAAAAAGGGGTTGGGGGAGGGGGCGCCCCCCCTGGGCTCCTCCCCTGGGCCCTTCTCCTGGATCTGCCTCTGGAACTAGCCTGCGTAGCTGGAGGGATTCTGGCAGGCAAGTGCGGTACGTAGTTTCTTGGATCAACGGCTCTCCCTTCGCGCTACCAAGAAAGAAACCCCGAGCACAACAATCCCGCCAGCTACGTAGGTTAACAGCCACCGCAGTCCTATAAAAGGCGGGAAACTTGTCGCGAAACTCATGCATAGCACTGGCTTTGATTTATGGACTTATCATTTTTCTCACATGGGAAAAAACATCGTTCTAAGTCTGATCGGCTAGACCTCATTTTCGGGGGAGGAGGGGATATCAACCAATATTTGTGTTTAGGTGAGCCGCTGAGGGTTTGAAACTCTGACCCTGGGGTAAGGACAAAAAATTCCTAAAATACATACACCAGTACCTTGTTTAGGACAACCCCTCAAGTTTATTATCCTGTTCAGGAAAAGCTAAAGCGGCAAATGCACGCCGTCTTATTTTATAGCCATTTATTGGCAATTGCAACAGATTAAATTCACATAAAGGCTTTTGTTGGAGTACAAACAAAATTTATCTTGCAAGTCAAATCTGTCGTGGAAGGAATAACCTGTTGACAGACTCACACGAAATTATATTCCCTGTTTAGAAGATTCTAACGGAAAATTATAAAAAATTAGATAAAGAAAAAATGAATAAGTAAATAAATAAATAAATAAATAAATAAAAGCAAAACACAAAGCTGACAAAGAGGGATGCATGGAGCGAAAAGAACAAGTTAAGTAACAAGTTGTTTCTTCAGTTTTTTCTTAAAAGTTGATACACTAACTGAGGTTAGAATGTCTGGACTAAGTGAATTAAAAAACAAGGGCAACTTGATGTGGAAATGAAAGCGTCCTATGTTAGTTCTGAACATGAAAGGAACTGGCATTCTAGAAAATGTTTTCAGACAAATGTATAGACAATTATAAAAAGTAGTTCTAGCGCATGTAGCTGCATGTAACGTCTTCAAATTTTTTCAGTAGAATCGTTAGGAGTGAAGCTTTAGTTTACAATTGATATATATTTTTTCAGAACAGCTAGCCGCTTTACGGAAATTATTCGACATTAGAATCTCATACAAACACTGTAATTTCTCACGCGGTTGCCTACTCGTCAAGATGGCTTCCAAAACCGTGACAAGGTCCAATTGCAAACTGGGTCTTTTGCTCAAACTTTTGAGAAAGAATAAGCCTGGAATCTCGAGGACGAACGTTGTTACGTGCAGACTAGACAATGAAGGGCTGCGAGAAAGACAAATAAATAACGCTTCTTTTTCTTTAGCCATTGAAACGACTAAGCATTATATTAAATACAAAGCCAGTCATTTATAATTATGTCGTTTATTTAGACAGGCTATTGATTGTTATGCAAAATACTTACCCAGAAACCTACAAAAAGAAACTGCAACAAGGAGTGTATTTCATTCGGAAAAAGTTTTCCAACTGGACTATAACGGTACGTGGAAGCTGTTTGCCAAGATCTTTGTTCTGGACATCTTGTAAGTATTGACCAACAATCTTAACTTTCCTAGTAGGAAAAGGAAAATGAAAAACTCGAATTTTTTCTCAGTAGACGTGGTAGAAAATTTTGACAGCATGTTTCGTTTATACAGCGTTCGAGCAAAACTTTAGTTGGGCTTAGTGCGAGAAAATTGGCGCCATGGGTACTTGTGAATGATTAAGCACCGTGATTCGATGTTAAATTCACTGTTAGCGAAAGAAAACAGAGAAACCTCTTTCTTTATTGTAAATAAGTTCGTAAAAAAAAGTCGCCTGGAACTTGATTCTGCGGTGTATTTAACAAAATGAATGTATACTTTCCAGAACAGAAACTTGGCGTGCATTTTCTCGATAGAGTACACATGCAGTTAGATGTTGACTTTACCTAACTGCAAAAGAAAACGGGGAGTTAAAATAAAAGAAACGAAAGAGGCTGGATAGGTTTTTCTTCAGTAGTTTCACTTGTAAGGTTCTGTAGTTAAAGTGGAATACTTGAAATTAGCGCAAACTGTGCTGACATTAGCATCATATCAAGTGGTCTGGCTGAGTTTCCGTCAAAGTTATGGTTAAAAGCCTAGGTGTGACTGAAATTCCTTTTATTCGTTAATGTCTTCAACACCTTTGGCTTATAATATACAGTTGTTGTTACAATTTTTGCAGTATTTATTTTTTCCAACATGCCGGATACCGAAGCAAAATGTACCTATCACCAGTAACAATCAGTGTGTGCATTTTCTAGGCAAAGCAGCTCGAGGCAACTTTATTTCCTTTGAACTGGTTTATGCGAAGTTGTAGATGGCGTTTATTGGTAACTGCGCGCGTACTCTAAACCAATTTCATCCTAGCAATCATACCAAAATAATCAAATGTTATGTACCTCAAAAGACAGAAGGAATTTCGAAAGCTTACAGCAAAGCGCCATTTACATTATAAACAGGTATAGTGGTCCCACTCAAAGACTGGACAGAACAAACCAGTTTTGTCGCTATAAAATCAAAAGCCATTCCTTAACACTTTTAAAATTCTTAGATTGATGACTGATTTTAGTCTTTTAGGACAAGAAAGACGATAACAGGTTTTGGCGCAAAAGGCCAACATTGAAGAATTGTCAATTCAAAATAATTAGAAATCTGTTCCTGGCGCTGAAAATAATTTATTTAAATTAATCATTGTCTCTGGATTTAAACTGAAAGAAAATAATAATAATTTTAAGTTGCTGATGTGCGACGCTCTACCAGCCCGTTCCACACTAATGCGTTTTTCGATTAGTCAGCACTGTTAACGATAAAAAAAATGGTCCATGCAGGGAACACTCACGCAAGTGGAGGCGTTTTGAGGGGCAAGGTGTATCGTTTTTCATAATTGAGACGGTTCAATTCAAGACTGACTTCATAACCTACTGACACATCACTTCTTTAGAAGTATTAATTTATGCTCAAAATTATGCTCAGCTGAAGGCCAGGTATGCTGACCGCTCCTAATTATGCACTTTACCCATTCTTTATCTACCACATGAACATTTCTACAAAGTCTTCGATATTGCTTTTAAATGGCCCCTGACCAGACAAAAAATGCAGTAGTCTTTTAGGTTCTTCTGAGGGAACGGCTGCCTGTGGTATTCAACAGTCGTTTTCTTCTTTTTTTCTCAAAATCGGTTTTTCACTGCGCGAAGCCCCGGCGGTTTCAGAGTCTCACACGTGAGAATCGTGTAAGCATTACCTGGTACGCGCGCAAGCCATGAAATTTGGCCCTGCCCCGGTAATACGGCCACCCCTTTAATAAGGCCAATTTTGTTTGACCCATTGGTGAACGCATCTCGTATCGGTTCTACCGTACATACTACATAAATAGTACCATGTGAAAGTACTGCTGAAGAGGTTTTATTTGAATGGTAACACCATAGGATTTCACCCGCGGATTCAAAAGTCAGAACTGCATACTAAATATATAGTATAATGTGAAAGTACTGCTGAAGAGGTTCATTGAATGGTAACACCATAGGATTTCATCCACAGATTCAAAAGTTAGAACCGCATACTAAATATATAATATAATGTGAAAGTACTGCTGAAGTGGTTTTATTGTAATGGTACCCTACGATAAAGTTAGAACAACAAAATAAAAAAAAATATCAACATGTGGAAGTGATGCTGAAGAGGTTTCATTTGAATGGTCACATCAGAGGATTTCAATCAGGTCAACACAGGCTTGACTAATTTAAAACATTAATTAGAAAAGAAAAAGCGATCGATTTTGTCCTTATTTTTTGCATAAAAAATCTAAAATGTAATCACATTATAGCACGAAACTTTATATGAGACATGGGCTTTTAAGTTCTTTTATCAAGGTGACTATATTTTACGCTACCAGCACACCTGGCATGCCACAAGTTATGATAATTAGCTGTTTATGTTTTCCTTATTATTAGAAAGAAGCCCGGCAGAGTGACGATGATTTTATACTTGTGGTTTTGCACCTTTTTCGTGCACCTGTCACTTTCCACAGGTGAGTGCGGGGATACTTGCAGTCTCCTTCGCAGCCGTTTCTAGTAGGGAGCGTATTAAAGCATCGACGACGGCAACGGAAGCGAAAACGGCAATTTTAAAATGAATTCCCGTTCGTTCAAACTTTGTCGCGTTTATTCCAGTTTGCTGAAAATGGCAAATGTGGGCGAATTTCCCTGGAGTTGATTTTTTGGAGCGCAGTCAAGTTTAGTGAAAGAAAAAGAAATTCGTCTTCGCTTGTTTACTCCTCCACAAAACTTGCAATTAGGCATTTTCACGTCGTAGTCGTGCAAGGACGGTAAAGAAATGTACAAAAAAACGTGATGCACTTGCAAAGTTGTTGTGTTGCTGATATAAACCTATTGCTTTTTTGACGTCCTCGTTGCCGTCGCCGTCGTCGTTGCCCAGTTGCCAAAGATTCCTAGTGTCGTCACGCAACGCTGTCTTGGCTTAAATTGAGATTGAATGGCTCTAGGATAGGATGAACCGAGACTTTAACCTGCGCGCAGGGCTGATTTTTACCTTAGGGCCGAAACAGAAATTTGCATTGTATACATATTTTCCTTTTTTTCTGTACAGTGCAACTCAAGAAAAAAAAATGGAGCTTTTGCCTACAACTGCATCCCTTTTCAGATCCAAAATAACCCGTTGAACTGGCTATTTACTGGAGCAAAAGCTGACTAGCTTGGCGTGTGCCTGGCTTGGGCATTCCAACAGGCGATTTTTCCATATGGGTCATAACGGGAACCTTCTACCTAGTGATTTAGAGTAGTCCTAATGGCTCTCTCACGTGAACCAGCCCGGCCCTTGAAAATACGATGTAACATCCTAGGATCAATTCACTGAGGCAACTTTCATGTAATTGTAAGCTCTGTCTGCCTCCAAGAGAGGATCATGGGACAGAGAGAGGGAAACGCCCAGAAAACCTTTTATGAACGGTGTTAAAAGAAAGAACCTTTTTAAAGTGAGAACCAACCAGTAAATATTTTATGGATGGTTTAAATGCACAAAGGCAATATAAAAGTTTAGAACTGACTACTAGAGCCTACGCCTAAAATCTTCCTTTACAATTCCGGCGCGTACTTCCATAGGAACTCAGTAGTGCCAATGCTGCTGATCTTGCGTCCAGTTATAATACGGTCCTGTGATAATAACAGTATATAACAATTATTCACCGAAGTGGAGGTGGCTAGTACTGGATATTTACGGAGGCCACGAAGCGGCGAGGTAAATATCTCCTACCAGCCACCGACACTGAGGTGAATAATTGTTTTAGTATATACTAAAACAGTGAGATAATTGAGCACAAAAATGATGATAGTTAACTCACTTACTGTTGCCAACGATTACAATTTTGGCGCGCGATGACCGAACGGCCGCGGTCGTCGCTTTTTCTTAGCGACAAATAAAACTTTTGAAGGCGTTTGTTTAGCTCTTGCGGGAAAGTTTCTTCAAAAGGAGTTGTGAATTCTTTTTGTATTTAAAATAATTCTGTAAAAAAGATTATTAAATTTAGTTTTAAGCTTATTTATGAACAAGTCAACTAAATAAAGTAACGCAAGACTTAAGCTTAATTTGCATTACAAAAAAATTTTCACCGGTTTTATCGATAAATTCAAGTCAAAAAGACAAAGCTTTACCTGTTAAAACTTCCAAACCGAACTTCGTCACCTTCTTCATGTATTTCGGAAATAGCTTGCTTGATTAGTTGTGAAATTTCTTAGTTTGTTACGGCAGCAAACTGAGAAGGCAGTTTGCTCGCAACCTACGCGAGTTTGGCGTCGCTCGCTCGGAGGAACTGGAGGTGAATCAGTGAATAGTGCAGGATATTCACTGATCGAGTAGCCAATCAGAGCGCGCGAAAAACACTATCCACTGTTTTAGTATATACTAAATAGATTTAGCCACGGCCGAAAGCAAAGCTTCCATTGATAAATTTATAACTTGAATCAAACAATAATTTTGTATTCCACAAATCAGTTAACTTAAGGGCACATTCATGTGACTTTTGAGGGAAAAGCTAAGTGATTTTGAAGTGAAACAAATCTTGTATCAAGTTGATATAGCCTTATATGTACACCCAAAAAATAGTCTTCGGTCACATTTCAGAGCAATAATGGCTCTTGGTCACAGTAGATATGGCGCGGAAAACAAATTCTTGGAAAACAAATCAGTTTTCATGCTTTCCAGGAGTTATGACTATCTAAAATAGTATTTGTTTTAAGGTGCCTCAAACTGCGAGGACCCGCCACTGGATTTATGCATTGTTCTCGACAAGACGAAAAGCGTGGGAAAGGCCAATTACAAAAAGATGCTGGAATCGGTCCGTACACTCATATCCAAGTACAACGTTGGCCCCACTAAAACACGTATTTCAATTGTCACATATGATAAGAAAGCCCAGGTTCGGGTCAGCTTTAAAGAATTGGACAAACAAAACAAGAATGCTTTAAACAGCCTTTTGGACTCGATGAAAGCTCGAGACAAGCTAGGCGGGGTAACGCGCACTGATCTGGCACTTGAGACAGTTGGTAACGAAGTATTTACTACTGCAAATGGAGACAGACCGAATTCTCCCAATGTAATGATTGTGTTTACCGACGGTGGAACGCATAAAAAGTCCAAGCCTTACAGCGAAGTTCTTCCTCCACTTGTGGTGAGTATAATTTGCACTATGTTTTTACACTATCATCGAGGCCGCCTTGTTTGTTTACCAGCGGGAGACTCCCTCTATAATAGGGAGCTTAAGCAACGACTACGGCAACGAGAACGGCAATAAACCAATAGGTTTATATTGGCCAAATAACAACTTTGTACGTACATTACGCTTTTTGTACATTTCTTTGCCTTCGTTGCACGGCTTGAAAATGCCTAATTTCACGTGGCCTTATTTCAATGGCCTATACGGGGAGGCTCAACCCGAAAGGGGTACTTCCTTCTTCAGGCTCATATATCTGAAAGGGTAAGGATGTCACTAGTCTAAGAACAAATCTGTCATTCCGTCTACAAGAAGACCTAAAAGGGCTAATAGAAGAATTTATGGTTGTAAAAAAAGTCGAGAAAATTTTCTGGTTCTGTGATTTTTTCATAGTTTAAAGTCAATGCATTTACAGCTGTTAAAAGGGATCGATACAACTTTCTAAAGTAGGTATGTGCCAATGGAAGGTATACGAAAGGGGTGCCTCAAAAATGGTATATAAAAGGGTAAGGACTTGGACCTCGGGGCGGAGTCTTCCATGTAAAACCTTGTTGATTAACCCCCCCCCCCCCCGTATGCTTCAGCCTGTTTTGGTGCCATTTGTTCGTGTTTCTTTAAAAGCAATAATTAGTGAGCTTACGCAACAGGAAGGGAGAGGAAAAAGACGACAAACCCTGTGTTACAAGCGTGACGATAATTTTGTTTGAAAACACTTTCCTCCAAACTTCACCCTCCTTTAAACAGATCTTTTTGTAAAAGACCAGAAAAATCAGTGTAAGTGACGATCACGACAAAACACGAAAGTAATAGCCAAATCACGTTTGTCACGCACAAGCGTTTTGCCGTCCTCTCCTTCCAACCGTCCTGTTGCGTAAACTCACTATTGGAGGGTACAAGACGACTTTCGGACAGAGGAACTGTCATGTGTAAGACTGAGGCCCCCGACTGAGGATCTTAGAGGTCCTATCAATAACCTCTATTTTCCCGTTGATATTCAGGCTGAAGGTGTCCAACGAATTGCTGTTGGAATCGGGAAAAAGATTAATTCAGACGAGCTTGAGACTATTGCAGGGAGCCCTGATCGCGTGGTAAATGCAGAAAGTTTTGATAAGCTGGACAAAGAGCTGGACGAAATACGTGAAGTTTCTTGCCGTAAGTTATTAACTTGTCAAAGGGATGGTCGTTTACCACCTGTGAGGGAAGGGGGGCGGCCGGCCATTTTGCTGAGGATTCATTTTGAAAATCTTGATTGGTTTTGGGTGGTAATTTTCAGATAACTGAGCGTTACCTGAGGGGTACTTTGATAAATTTCATGAAAGTAGTAAAAGCAATATCAAGCGTTAATTGAAATTGAATGTAACAGCAATCCGAGACTGTCTCGAAGCCTGTTTGTGTTGCTCGTCTCGCGACTTCGTTGCTCTCTTCGCGTTCGTGCCTCGCACTCTGACAATTTACTTTTGGCACGTATACCATCCGATAGCTAACACCGATCTTATAAATATCACGGTAGAGAAAGTATTTGTAAACTTCAGTACGATATGTGTCGGTTCGGAGGTTCTCTTTCACAATATGTAAAATTTATGAGACCATTTCTGAAAGCATTGATGTAAGACTCTCCGCCAAAAGTACTACCAAACTCGGATGGCGCGTTGGAAGTTATACGGACTAGAAGTCTTGAAGTTATTCTTAAATTTGTGTTTGTAACAGGTGTCGATGGGGGATATTCCAAGTGGAGTAGTTGGTCGAGTTGTTCAGTTTCTTGTGGGGGTGGAGTTAGTTGGAGACAGAGAAAGTGTGTCAACCCACGACCACGTGGGGATGGAAAAACGTGCAAGGAACAAAACCTTGGACCTAACAAGAAGTCAAAATTGTGCAACACTCATAAATGCGGTATCGTAGAACTCTATGTTGTATAAAAATATCTCTTAAGCTTAAAGTATGAGTCTTGTTCACTTCTGCGCCGGCAAGTGTCGTGTCCAGCCCATTACGTGCTAAGATTACGTCATTGTTCAGAGGCCTTGCCAGCCACGCCCCATCCGGGATCTGTGTTTTAAGAAGAAGAAACTACGCCGGGGCAGAAGTAAAGAAGACTAACCTCAGCTAATCTAAATTTTAAGTTTGAAATTTTTCTCAAGCTCATAGTTCAAATTTACTGGACACATGAATCCACACGAGTCTCTTAAGATTTCCTTTTTCCGATTCTGTATACAGCGAACATGTAGGTTGGTTTTGTAAATGGAAAATTAGAATTTCCCTCTTATTTAGGTGAAGATGGCAACTGGTCTCCATGGAGTAATCCTGGACGCTGTGATAAGACTTGTGGAGGCGGTGTGCGAGTAAGAAAAAGAACCTGTACAAATCCACCACCTTCTGGTGAAGGCAAGAAATGTAAAGGACCAACAACAAAAACGGAGGGTTGTAACACACAGACATGTAAGAAAAACACGGCTTTATTATTTCGTGTTTACTTCGTAAAGTTTATGAATTGCTTCACCATTTTAGAATTGGCTAATAGCGCCCTCGTTTTAAGATTGTCGAGCTGTAACTTTATGTTGATCTTTACATTAGTGAAGCGCACACGTATTTGCAAACTTGAAGGACTCGCCGCCAGTAATGTCGATAAAGGTGGATTTCCATTGTCGCGTAATTTTCACGTGTGTAAATGAAATAAAGGCAATGTATGGTGCGACACCAGAAACTCTCCCGACACTTTATACATTAGCTCAATTTTATTTACGCGCGTTAAATTTTCTTAGAATACATACACACTTGAAATTACGCGACAGTGGAATTCCACCTTAAGGTAGGGATTTTTCTGATTGCACAACTGATTTGTTTTATTTTATTTCTGCAATTGCAACTTTAGTTTTTGTCCATATCTTGCGACAGTGCTACTTTAAGTTGGTTCATATTTTTAAGAATTTATGTGATCAAATGACTGTTGACAAGCATGATTCAGTTCTCAAGTTGATTAACTCAACCATTGTTTCTTTTTAGGTCCTCCTCCTCCACCCCCTCCCTGCAAGGAATATTTGGATGTCGGAGTGATTATAGACTCGTCAAACAGTATTAAACCAAATGATTATGCAGAAGCTCGCAGTTTCCTACAAAGTCTTGCTCGTAGACTGCAGATATCAGAGGCTGGTTCACATATGGCGCTCATTTTGTACAGCTGGGAGGCGCATACCTATCACAGGCTAGTAGTCTTTTCCGTGCTCTACCCTTTTGATGTAATTATGTACTGCTACCTAATTCTGGGTCATTGTTTAAGAAAAATAGGCTATTCAAAGAAGCGCAACGAAATTACCTGGAACTGTTCCAACATTCATCATCTAATCAAGTCATGTTCTCAACAAAAGAGTCAGACTTTAGTAGTTCGTTGGCCACGATATAATTTTATGCGCTCTACTGGTAATGGATACCTACAACAATAATATGGATTGAAACATCCCGAAATTTACTTTCTTTTATAATTTCTAGGTTTGAAGACCCCCAAAATATCAACGAACTGGTGCAAAAGATTGGCAAACTACCACACATTAAAGGTGGAACACGAACTGACAGGGCCCTGGAACTAGCAGCAGAAAACTTCTTTGGTTGGCAGGAGACTGGAGACAGACCGGATGTACCGAACGTGTTGCTTGTGCTGACTGATGGGGACACAAATGAGGGCAGCAAACCATTTTCTCAAGTTCTACCTCCATTAGAGGTTTTTATTCGTATTCTCCATTCCTCTTGTTCTTAGCATCGTAACTAAGTTTTTGTTCCGCAAAAAGCTACTTTTCAGAAATTTATTGCATTGCGTTGCAAGCATTCCTATCAGTGGAAATGAAGGGTTTGACGCAAGAGCAAAAAGAAAACACGTTCCTGTCGCCTTTTGTCGCAAAAAAAGGAAAAATGTTTCTCGGACTCATTAGCGGACTATTACTTTATATGATGTCTTATGAGAAAGCAAAAACAAGCATTAGAGCGATTTTCATATGACCTTGAAAAATGGTTTCGGTAAGCGTTTGCTATTTGTTTTATCAGCCAATGGATAGAAAGATCAAAACATGGCCTCTTCGTTTTCCCGCCAAAGAAAATCCTAATATGGAGAAGGTATTGTTCGATCGGCCAATCGTGTTGCAGTATGACGTTAACGCTAAGTATCAGTTGATTTCTAGAAAGTTCTCGGGGGTGACCTTCGTCACCCCGAGCGTTCGCTTGTTCGCGCGTTTTCATTTCAAGGTCATACGAAAATCGCTCTATCTTTGTTAATCGTTCTAGCTCCAATAGGGACTCATTGGGAAGACAAACAAACAGCTAAGATAAATCCTGATATATTTGTATATATAATTATAAATTGTCATTATCCCTTCATACTACAAAAAATACTTGTAACATATTTCTTAAAAGCTCCCTAAAATATTCATCTCTGCATGATCCATTCGCTCACACTCACCCTCCCACTCATTCATTTGAGCAAAACTAACTGAAACTTCTTTACATTGGAATGAAGGCTGCAGGAGTAAGGCGAATAGCCATTGGCATTGGAAACGAGATCGATAAAGGTGAACTTGTACAAATTGCTGGTAACCAACAGGATGTCATTCAAGTAAAGTCGTACGGTGAATTAATCAGGAAACTGGAATATATCATGAAACTGGCATGTGAGGATCAATTTTTAGGTAAATAAAATATTACTCTGAGAGAGCGCTTACACAGTTTATGTAATACGGCTGTAAGGAGCTAGTTATTAGAAAGAAATGTAACAATTCAATATACCCGGAAATGTTTAATATTAAGCAATATGATGGTGTTACTCTACTAGGTGTAACGTTCCAATCCAACTGTAAATTTTCCGAAAATTTTAAGGCCAAATTATGCGAGGCTAAAACAAATGCTTGTTTGTAAGAAGGGGATTAAGAAAAGAGGGCTATTGGCACAAAGAAAGATGTGGACCTTCCATTTAAATCAATTGTACACCATCGCTAAGAGCCCTACACTGGTTACCCGTAGAAAATCGCATAGTTTTTAAAATGTTATTGTTCAACTCGCTCCGTCTTATATATTTCCGAAATTGTATCTATGAAAGACACTACGGGTAGATACTATCTAAGAACAAATGAGGCCAAACTTAAGAACATTCCATCATGCAAGTCTCTTTCCACGCTGGGTGATCGATCCTTTTATGTGGCTGCCCATATAAAACGATCTTCAAATCATGAAACGATCTTCTTCTTTTTATTATTAATATACCTTCAGTTAATGCTTTTAACAAGGCTCTTAAATAAAATATTATTTACTCAACATCATTGAGAGAGCGAGAGCAAGTGTCACATAGCAGTAAAAGCACTCAGTGTGCACTCGCCTCCCACCAATGTGGCCCGGTTGCAAATCTAGGCGTGGCTTCAGTTTGCTGTTGGTTAGTCTCCTTTGCTCCAAGAGGTTTTTCTCCGCTTTTTTATTTCCTCTCCTGAAAAGCCAACATTCCAAATCCCAATACGACCAGGAATGGTAGACAATGAGCTACTATTTTGATGCGTTACCTCTCTTTAAATCGCTAATTAATTATCTATTTTTTTGAATTATGTAAAATACCAGAGAAATAAGAAATTTTTATGAGTTAACTGTTATAATTCCATGGTTCAATTTACTTTTACTTGACCTTAGACAAAACCTGTTTTTTACTTAGGATCCTGTGGTGGCTGGGGTCCCTGGGGAGGTTGTAGTAAGACCTGTGGATCTGGATTCAAGGTTCGCAGAAGGCAGTGTCCAATGATCAGTTTACATTTAAAAGAGCAAAAAACCAGCTGCAATACTAATCTGTGCCCAGGAGAAGGTAAAAGATAAAGACTTTTTAGGAGCTATTCATTTATTTAGCAGCTGGGAAGAGGTACACACATTTGCCTTGTAAAAATTTATGTGCTCGCTGTAAGTTTCTGATTACTCAGTTTCTTTCAACAAAACTTTGAGTTTGAACCCTTTCAGATGGGTGATGTCAGTACTCGTTTTTACAAATGCGTTGACATAACAATGGGGATGATTTAGACAGTTAAATTTAACCAGCATTTTTTAATTTGTGCATCGAGGTGTAAAATGAAGTTCTACCATTCATCCTCAAGGCTGCCAAGAACCATAGAAATCATTTAAATATTTCCAGTTGAAAAACGCGATTCAAAAACATAAAAAACACGCTTATAAATAGGTTCGGCCCACCTGGCCTTAAGATTTTTGCTTGTTATTGGTTACTAAAGATTACTATCGATTACTACTATTTGTTATCGATTTTTTTCAATCAATCACAATCGATAATTTTTTCTATGACTTCGATTGTTATCGATTTTCCTTAGCAATCGATAACAATCGGCGGATGATATCGACTGATTTCCGATATTGATTTCTACGCGTAGAAGAGCATGTGATGTGACCAAATAAAAGAAGCGCCTTCTCAAGTTTATTTTCACAGCGTTTTCAAATTTTTCTACGGATACTGACCATAAAGGCATGATTAATATAAGGTTTTAAATAACAGATTTTTTTAATCAACATACAGTACCCTGCGAAGACAGTAGGGAAGACTGTCCGTCCCTTGCGGCGGCCGGAAAGTGTTGGAAACAAGCCATAGGGCAACAGTTCCGTCAAACATTCACCTTGTGGAATCAATGCAAGAAAAGTTGTCGTAGATGTAACGGTAAGTAAAGAAATGTTGAGAGCGTTAATTTTTTTGCAAGAACATCCACAGCAGATTTTGTGTTTGTTCCATTGGTTCTTTGTGTAAGTTTGTAGAATTGCTCTTGGCTCTCAGGTTAATTCATCTCCAAAATATGATTAGTCTTAACGAAAGCATATTATTAGCAATTTGAGTTCCCTTTTCTATTGTGCAAAAAAAAAGTAAATAAATAAAATAAATAAATAAATAAAAAATTGGAATGATTAGAGCCCAGTAATGAGGAATTTAGCCGACTTTTCTTTCGTTTTTTTTTTCTGCAATGAGATTTCTTTTCTAACTTTCTTCTTTTTTGTCAGTGGATACTCAGTGCAAGGATAATGATCCATATTTGTGTCCGTGGCTGGCTGCTAAAAACAAGCTTTCGTGTCTAATAAAACTAAAATGTAAGTACTGAGCTGAGTAGAAACTTCCCCGAGGGATGGGGGTAAGGGTGGAGAGGATAATTATTTATATTGTGCCAAGACCCACACCACGTTCGCCTACATTTGTTATCCCTTATTCTAGCCTAGACACCCAAGTATCCCCTCCATACTAAATTACAATTCCGCTAAGGGTCTCAAAATAAACTGAAATGAGAAGTAGATTATATAGCCTGTATTGCTTGGAGGGGAGAACTTCAAGGCGTTTTAGAGTAATTATACATGTAAACTGTATGACATTGTAATCAAACATTTGAAATTAAGGTGGCAGAGGACAAAACAGTTAGCGATAAACAAACTGCTAATGGAAATTGATCCCTGACCTCAAGATTACAATTAAAACGCTGTTTGCTCAGCCACGTTACTTCTAAATTCGTTGGGAAATTTATCAGATTCTTTGTAGACGACATTGGAAAGGAGCTCAGTGCTCTTCCGTCCGTGTTTGAAAACTATTGTCTCGCCGTTTATGCGGCGACCCGACTGAGGGCCCCGGGATCTCTGAGGATTGGGAATCACATACCGAATTTTGTGCACCTAAACCTTCTAAAATTCCTAAAAAGATAGTATAGCAGTAAATATCGAAATCTTATACATCAGATCCCTTCAACAACAACACTCACGGTCTTTAAATAACTGAGGAGAAAGTGCTGCCTTTGTAATAACATCTGCAAATGGTTAGACTTTCTAGTCTTCTCGGATAAGGACGATAAACCGTAGGCCCCGTCTCACAGGCTCTTGCACATGTAATAAATCTGTGGGACGTTAAAGAACCCACACACTCTTCGTAAAGAGTAGGGCACGTAGTGCCCGGTGTAGTGGTCTATCTCACTTTCACACTCATGTATGGGGGCATCATTACTCATTCCTTCATTACTTGTAAACTGCACCTTAAGCAGTCTGGCAAAGTCCCCCAACCAGTGTTGTAAATTATCCCTGAAAAGCCCTGTGGGGAGTGGATAATAAGACATTTACAATTTACAATTTACAATTTACTTCACCACCACGTGCTAACTCGTTGATGATTCGCACTAATTATACTAACAAGAGACAATAATGGGATAGAGAGGAAAGCGCCCAGTCTGGCCATTGGGATGCGTAAATTTCACTCAAGTTATTTTTAGGCCAATTAAACGCTTGATGTTAATCGGAAGTTGGTTTCCGCAGAGGTCTGCATACTATTATTATTGTTGTCAAGAGAAAATAACGAGACATTATGCTCTCTCGATGTGTCGCCATTACAATATTCTGCATTGTTTGCTTTTAGGCATCCGCGCGCGGACTTGGTAACGTTTCAAACAATCGATTATACTGTGCGGACATCCCAGGAATTAGACTTCCGTTTGATTACAACCTCTAAAAATAATTTTTGTGAAATTCACATATCCTGGCCAACACCCTAAGATTCCCTCTCCGTTGCATTATTCTCTCTTGAACACTGTTTTATTTTTATTATTATTATTTCTTCCACAGCTGTATGCAAGCAAAGCTGCAAAACTTGTGGATCTAGCGGAGGTCATATCAATGAATTTTTATATCTCAGTTGTAAATCACATCAAAGCGACCCGAAGAGAACAGTCATTCGTTTATTTTTGCGCTAGAACGGAAACTTATGTACATATGAAAGAAAGAGCACTAGGACTCGCTTTAAAAGAAAGGCTCAAAGTTATTGGGGAATGCCTATATGAAGCTAAAAGCAAGTTGTGGCAAAGTTTTAAAACTTGATTCATCCCTTACACATTTTACTATGAAGCGCTCAATTGAAATGCAGTCTTATGTAGAACGCCTGTTCTAGGTTAGGCTACATTTCAATCTACAAACAAAAAAAGCTTAATATACTCTTAATTACAGCTGCGTCCACCTTTCAAATATGAGGTCTGCGCTTTTCGTTTTTTGTCGCATTTGATGAATCTTTAGTCTACCCTTGCTTCAATTATCGACTCTAAATCAGAATGTGAAGTGCCAGAGGGTGCAAAGGTGGGAATGGATTGTCTAATGTTAGCTGTGTCCAATAGCTTTTGGTTTTATCTCATCCTTATTTGAGCTAGCCTGCTAACTACACACAGTCTGTGTGGAACTGCGGTCCTTTACCCCTTTGTTTTCATTTTCTAAAAAAAAAAATTTTACCACAGGAATATAATGAAATTAAGTTAAAGCCTAGAACAAAAAAGGGACGTAGGAAAGTGGAAAGAAGGGGAGAAATTAAAGCAAAGAATCCAAAACGTTTGACTTTTGACGACGTTTGACTAATTAATTAGGAGCCTGAAATGTTGTATTCTTATACCACCAAATTGTCCAAGGGCGAATTTGTTAGACTGGCGCTTAGGCCTGCTTGCTGTTGTATCAACTATTAAATCATTTTTTTTTTTCATGTCACTCCTATTTATTTAGGTGGTAGTAGCGTAGGCTGGGGTAGCTGGGGTAACAACAATCAAGGTGGAGGAAACGGTGGAGGGGGAAGACCCAGTACCTGGGGAAGCAGCCATCACAGTGGAGGGGGAAGACCCGGTAGCTCGGGAAGCAGCCATCACGGTGGAGGGAGAAGACCTGGAGGCTGGGGAGTCGGTGGTTGGCGAAGACCCGGCTTTTTTGGTCGTTGAAAATATGAAAGGAAAAGTAAGTATATTTCAGAAATGAAAAACAAATGGTTAAATGTATTTTTTTGATATATCGGTTGCTACACAGTCCATCCACGAGGGCGAAAAAAAATAGATAAATAAGAGGAATGAATGCGAGTACAAAATAAATTATTTTACATATGCCAGTTTTTTTTGTAAACTATTTCAAAAATATTATTATATGTAACTGTTATCTGTATTTGTTTTTGTTTTTGCCCCCATAAGGGTTATGGTTGCCGAAATGATCGAATGGATTTGAACTAAATTATCGAAAGAATATTAGTGAGTTATCGAATGGATATTGCAGTAAATTATCAAACGAATGACTTAATTTATCAAATGATATTGGCGAAATTGTCCAACAACAAATGGCATAATTTATCAAATACTTAAAATATCAAAGATATATGATACAAGATGGAACTAATACCGGTTTGTTTCTAATATGTATGAGACATTGAATGGATATAAACACTTTCGAATTTTGATACATTTCGGCAACCATAATAGAGTTGGTTTGCCACCAAAATCTCGTTATATACCAGTTATTTTAACATTCGTTTGGAGTTGATATCTGTCTTGTTCTCTCCGTTCTTTTGTTTTAAGGATCATTTTTTTTTACTGGTATTTAAGGTCTCGTCGATACTCATTTGTCGCAAAACTCTGTGCTATGAGTGTTTCAGTATGCATACATGTTTGATTCCCGAATAATTGTCCGTCTTTCAAATTAATGTGGTATTTATTTATTTATTTATTTGCATTTTTACCTCATAAAGTAAACTGTATGATTCCTTCTTATCTTGTTCTGGTTTTACTTTGAAGGATTGGCACCAACTAAAGAAGAAGGTATTCCGACCTGATGGATTTGTGCTAGTTTAGACATTTTTTAAGTTTCCAACGCTACTTTTCGTCTCTACTTTTTGTTTTCTTCTTTATCTTTCTTGTATACGGTTTCTCCGAAAAGTTTTCAACACCTTCACCTTTGGAAAGAAATGATCAAAATAAACTTGTAAAGTGAGCTTGTGTTAGTGTGATCCTATATGTCTTTATGTATATATGATATATTTTTTTATCTAAGGCCTAGGCCAAACGTCGAACTTTTCATGAGAAGGACTAAACTCTAATTTGGGTAGAGCTAAATTAAGTTAAGATCGTCTGTTGGTTCAGACGTCGAACTTAGGACGCGTCGAACCAATCAACTGAATCAGACCAAAAAGCAATTTTAGCCGAACGAGGCTAAATATGCATTCTCATTCAAATTTTAAATTTACCAGTTTAGTTCGTTGCATGTGAAAATCGTCGTTTATTCTGGAGAAGATCTTCAGACGTTAACGTTCTATCCGTCTGAAGAAGACTAATAGAACGTGTTAGACGATCCAAACTCATTTAGACGAATTTAACTGAGCCAAACGTCTAACTTCTCTAATCTTGGTTCGTCTCATTAAAAGTTCAACGTCTGGCCTAGGCGTAAGATACTCAACAATGTTATCACTGAACCTGGTTGAAACGCTTACAAAGTAATAATACTGTGCAAAAATTTTTGCACAGTATGAACCAGGTTCAAAACTTGCAAAGTTATAATTTGCAAAGCTGTGTTGCGCTACACGTCGTCATTGTAGATCGTCGCACGTAATTGTCGCCTTCACTTTTTTTAAAACAAACCTAAAGCAAGGGGCACACATACACCAACCCACGGCCTGGCCAGTACCTCAAGCATGTGCACCAGGGTAGTGGCAGCCATGGACAGAGACAGCTTGTACGTCCATAGGCCCGACGGCTATGCCATGCTAATGAGCCCCAGTAAGGGCGATATAGTCTTGATATGATTCCGAGTAAATTGTTGAAAATGGCTGCTAATATCGTCGCATCCTCTCTTACCTCAATATTCTCAAAGTCCATTCTCACTGGGATATATCCAAACGATTGGAAAATGGCCAAAGTGACTCCACTTTTTAAAAAGGGCATTAAATCGGACCCTAACAACTACAGGCCAATATCCGTAATCCGTAATCTTGAGGCAACAAATGCTTGGTCAGTAAACATCGACAATGGCCTTCTAAATGGCGTTGTCTTCATGGACCTTACTAAGGCATTCGATACCATTGATCATGAGATCATCTTGCGTAAGATGTCATACTTGGGTGTCGATCAGGCAGCCATAAAATGGTCTCGTCGTACTTAAGTGGCCGAACCCAAAGATGTAATGTCAGTGGCAAACTATCATCTGCTCGTACCCTCAGTTGCGGCGTGCCGCAGGGTAGCATATTGGGTCCTTTGCTATTTTTAATTTACATTAATGATCTTCCCAACTCCCTGCGGGGCGCCGTACCAAGAATGTTTGCCGATGACACCAACCTTACTTTATCTGCTAAGACGTTAACAGAGCTTAAGCTAGCTCTAACCCCTGAATTAAATAACCTTAGCTGTTGGCTGAAAGCTAACAAGCTCGGTCTAAATGTTGCTGAAACAGAGCTAATGATTATTGGATCAAGACAAAGACTATCTGCCCAATGTGACGATGTAGAAATCAGAATTGATGACCAAATTATCAAGAGAGTCGATCATACCAAATCCTTGGGTCTTACCATAGATGCTCAACTCTCTTGGGGTAAACACGTTGAAGAGATTTGCAAGAAAGTCTCTTCAGCTATAGGCGTCCTAAAACGTGTGCGGCCGTTTATATCCAAAGAAACTGCAATTCAAATTTATAACGCCTTAATTATGCCTCATTTTGATTACTGCAGCCCCGTCTGGGACTGTTTGAGTGGTTACTTGAGTGATAAGCTCCAAAAATTACAGAATCGTGCAGCCAGAGTTATTACTAAATCACCCTTTGATGCGAGCTCAAACCACCTTCTCTCCACCCTCAGCTGGGAGAGGCTATCTCTTCGACGAAAGAAACAAAAAGCCTTAATGATGTATAAATCCATGAATGATCTTGCTCCGGAATATCTACAAAGTCTTTTCTCTCAGCGTCACTCTGCTTACAACTTAAGAAACTCTGAGGAAAGGCTGACCCTGTCCAAACCAAGCACCAATTATTTGAAACGAAGCTTCTCTTACAGCGGGGCCATGTTATGGAATAACTTGCCCAAAAACTTTAAAAATGCTGCATCTATTGAGCATTTTAAGCGAAATATCAAGAAGGTAGCTGATATATCGGATTCCCACACGGCAATTATGTAAATCAGTTGTAATTAGTTTTAGTTTTTAACTTAAGCTTAACTGATGATTTCCCGTGTTTAAATAAAGATTTACATACATACATACATACATAGCTGTCCATGGCTGCGACTACCCGAGTGATATTGTTGTGCGCATGCGTGAGGTACTGGCCATGCCGTGGGTTGGTGTATGTGTGCCTCTTGCTTTAAGTTTCACTTTCTTTGAATGATGATATCTTGGCCGTCTTATATTAACAAAAAAAGACATCATTTAAGGGCCAATATGCAGTTTATCTAGAGAACCGGTCCTTCTCGCCTCGCAACTCCTTTATGCCGCTATTTCAGCTGAGCGGAGAAATTGCGCGCCTATCGAGGGAGAGAGTTGGGAAGCCAGTGTCTCTCCCTTAGGCCGAACTCGTTGACTGCCGCACCCATATTTACACGTTTTAGTTTTGCGACTTTGTTGATGGCACTTAACGGGCTCCACACTTTCCCCGAGCCGACTTTTCATCCTAAAAGTGACACTTTGAGTAAAACAATATAGTGGATGTGAGTTGTAAGGATCATCACTTTTTCAAAAGATAAAGAACATACTGGTCCTCTCTATCGATTTTACCTTTAGATGATACATGTATAAACAATGACGCCATTGCTTTGTTTTTTGATACTATTCTTCAATAACAAACTACTATCATCTTTCAATGATTTCTTTTGTCTGAACAAAGACATTCATCAATACAACACAACAGATGATCCTCTAACGTTCACAAATTCCAAGCTCGAAATAACTACCAAAAACACTCGGTAAAATACAATAGAATTTCTATATGCAATAAGTTGACAAAATCTATCAAAGGAATTAAGACATGCACATTCGATTTATTCAGGAAAAAATTGAAACTCATTTTCTCCTCAAACAAGAAAATTATATGAATGATAAGTTTTAGTTATTTCTCTAATTATTACAATCCTCGTAACCATGGCCATATCCATTTTATAATCTTAAAAATAAGCTTGTCCAGGGCTCTCCTCCCCAAAAAGGTTTGCTGAGAGCTCCTTCCCAGGTGTAATTATTCTATGATTGTTGTGCAAGAAGTCTGTGAAAGGGCAAATAAATAAATGACAAAAATGACAAATGATTTCATGACAATCTGATATTTACCCAAAATGTGACAAAACGTAACCTCCCCTCCCTACTTTGAAAAATCCTAGGTACGCCGCCAATGATTGTTCTTATCAAAACCAAAATACATGTAATTAAATCCACGAGAGAAGCAACTGAAATGGAAATAAATTTTCAAACCATAGATGGTTCTTTCCATCTATTAGACCAATTACTCTTGTACTTTTCAAAGAACAACTCATTTATCATGCATTCAAGTTATTTCATTTTTTTTTTCGAAGAAGGATTTTCTCGTGGATTCTCGTGGAATGAATTTTAATTTTACTGGGAAAAAAAAGAATTATTGTCAAAAGAGGATAAATTAATCCTCTCATTATTACACATAGATTAATCATATCCATACTGTAAATCATCAAGTGGTGTCCTTTGAATTTCCGTTTTGGGGGCTAAGCAGAATATTTCCCAGTAACTTGTCGAGTATCGGGTGTTTCTGAGAAAAAGCGCACGGAGAGAGGCAAAAAGGGGAGAGAGAAAAAGTGGAGAAACGCCATTCTCTTTTCTTTTTTATCCCTCCCTCCTCCGCACTCTAAAATCTCCTCTAGCCCCTAGGCTGTAACTATACATCTTTCAATTGTCTTGTAAGTTGAATAATAATAATAATAATAATAATAAACCAATCTTTATTTAAGTATCAG